GTCACATCAGATATATGGACGGCTGTAGCCTTTCAGTATTTACTGGTGTGTGACTTTTAAAGGTTGGGCAGACTGCACTGGCTCGTTAACAGCAGGATTAAGTCAGAGTTAAAGGAATAGTTTGACATTTTTGGAAATACACTCTTGCTTTCTTGCTGAGAGTTAGATGAGAAGATCTATACCACCCTCGTGCAGAGACTCCAGGAAGTGGCTGCACCCACACAAGAAATAGTTTTTCTGTCAGTTAAAGAAACAAGATTCATGTTTATTTGTAAACCACAGGGCTGTCGCGATAGCTGCAATATTGCAGTACCGCCAACCACCACAACTGTTTTGTTCACATTTTTTTCTTTGATTCATTGGAGCACTGCGTATTGACACTCTGCTACAAACGCCAGCAGCGTGATGAGGCGCAAAGTGTGTATTCTGTGCTGAGCGCTGCACATTCGGCGTTTTATCTGATCTCTTAAACACTGGCAGCTAGTCTGTGTCGCTTTTTACCCAGCTGTCCAATTACTGTAGAGCCTACCACAAAGACCAAAAGTCACATTACTGAACAACAACGGAGGAGAAATGAATACTGAACTCACAAAGACTCTCCTCCTTATGTGCTTCAGTCTCATTCAGTAGGCTACTCTATCTGCCGACAGTTTTACGTCGGCGGATGTTTTCATAGCAACCAGACGCAACCGAAGCATCTCAGCTGAAAAACCGCTCCCCTTATTGCGCCTCGATGCCCTTCTATGTTCTGAGTTCAAACAATGACCAAGTATTTGATTTGTTTTAAAGCTGCGTCCTCTTTGTCATTTAAAAAGCAGCTAAGAAAACGTATTTACAAAGCACTAAAGTCAGGATAAATGAAGTAGTAGAGGCTGCTAATCGCACTGTTGAGCCACCCTTAATCGCAGCAGGGGAAATTCCTTCACTGTGACAGCCCTAGTGAACTTGAGTGGTGCTAGCACATGGAAGCCAGGCTTGTTTTCAGTCCTTATGCTAAGCTAAGCTAACCAGCTGCTAGCCGCCGCTTCATATTTAGCATACAGACATGAGTGGAATCATTCTTTTCATCTGTCAGCGAGAAAGCAAATGAGCACATTTCCAAATTAGTGGACTCTATGGTTTAAAGTCTGAAGTGCAGTTGTTGAGGTTGGCGAACACACCCTTTTTTGAGCTTGATATTTCAGTGGGATTTGGGGAGTGAGGAGACAAAGCAGCAGCTGAGACCACCAAACTAATGAGGATTATGTCAGTTTTAACTGCGAATAATCTTTTGCTTCACCAGAATCTCTTTTGTGTAACGCTGATTAACTTGTAGTCTCACAGCACAGGTTGTTTCCCAAGTCTTGCTCCAGTAGCACCCATCACCAGTCGGTTGATCAGCCTCCTGTTCACGTGCACACCTGTTTCTAATGTTTTTGTCTCAGTGTAATTAATCTGAACGTGTTTGTCATAGTGTGTCCGGGGGGGGTGGATTGTTTGTCTCAGAACCGTGCGCGTCGACGTTACGACTAATAATGTGATTCAGATCGGGTGCCAGGACAACGAGACATCATGCCTACTACAGCTCTGTGTGACCTCTGTGGCCCTAAATGTACAGGAGCTCTCTTATGGGTGGCAGCACGCTTCAAGTCTGACACAAGCCATATTTGAGCCTCTCACTGTTGGTGTGGTGCAGGTTCCACCACACACACCTTTGCACATCAACACACACATTCAAAAACAACACACACGCACATACACACACACACACAGTACATGTACTGTAGTATACAGTATATTTACACATTTATATATATCAGATCAAGCATGACAAAAGCAGGTCTTAAGTTCAGCACTATTGTACAAAGCATCCAAAGTGTAATAAGGGTATAAAATGTAAGTTTGTGTGTCTTCATTATTATTGACTGTCTTCTACAGGCCAGCATAAGGATACTAACATCATGTTTGAATAACTAGTACTGGGCCCTGTGTGTAGACCTGGAAACGTACAAGAACTGGCTTCACGGTCGCAGGTTAGCACCACATTTCAGATCTACACAAGGCGTCTGCTCTGCTGCATAGGAGGCCCTTCAGTTTCAGTGATAGTAGCTGCGTTTTTTAAGGGAACATGTACTGAACTAGCACTGATCTGATTACTCCATTGTGGGAGTACAAGTGGGTCTTAGTGAACACCACTCGCTTCCTGTCATCACCTCGGAACAGGGAATCTTTCCATTCTCATCACGTGCTTTGTGTCTCTGATATTTAAATAATGGAAATCTGTTACCATCTTGGACCAGGGAGCTGAGCTGTCAGAAGAATTCGAGGGAGTTGTCGCCTCTCTCTGGAAGTAGAAGTAGGCTTCAGTTATTTCCTGGACCGGTCGTGTTATCAGGGAAACCACTGGATCCACCTTTCACTCATGGCGTTCAAGAAACGGGGCGGAGACTTGCCGTTTTATTGATGCACCACTATGGTTGACGTATATTGTATCCTCTGGCCCTGAATGTGTATTGATGGGGGTGGGGGTGGGGGGGTCGAGCAGTGAAAACTGTATGCATGTCTATTGTGTTTTGCAGAGCAAGTGACGGGGTGGGATGTTATCTCTATTATGTATTCTATGTGAGGGTAAAGCTGAACTCATGGCATCGGAACATTGAAGCGCTTTTTAAACAAAACGGGACATTCATTTGAATTTTTTTATTGCTGATACTAACTGATGTATTGTTATGAGTTTTGTGCTAGAGTTTGAGCGGGGCAGTGGTAGGTGGGGGGGAGGGAGGGGGGGCTAGACAATATTAGTGGGCTGTTTATATGGTTACTGTACTTACCTATTCTATTCTTTGTATTATGATTTGTAATTTTATGTTGCTTTTTTTGAACTGAGAATATGATGTAATGAAATTAATTCATGGGACTGAATCTTGACCTTTTTATGGACAACAAAATAATAAAAAAAGATCACTTATGTACAAAAATACGACACTGACCGCATTGTTTTTGAAACAGCTTTTGTATTTTTGCACAGTGTATAAGTTAATAAGACAGTGATGCAAAAAATATTTACATGTACATTGTAAGATAATTTGGTGCACAAATGATGATGGGTTTAGGATAATAAGATACAAAATAATACACAGTCTCTTCCTAGATTGGCTGGAATGGGTGCAGATAATGTACAGGGTTCGTCCAGTCATAAAAATCCTTTATAAAACATGGAATTTGAACATAATACGATTTGACACAATACAAAGAGGTGTTAAGGCCTCACTGAAGAAAACAAATCTCAGGTTTCAAGCAAGGTCATGACAAGAATAAAGTAAAACTATTTCAAGGAAAAAAGTAATATGAGAATAAAGGTGTAATTTTTCAAGACAAAAGTAATATTACATGATTATAAACTCATAAATGTATGAGGAAAAACTCATACTTACGCCAGAAGGTCAGTTTACATGGTATAAAAATAGACAAGAGTCCCTTAGCTGCATCGTCTCCCAGTCAGGGACTTTCTCGCTCTTTATACCAGTGGTTCCCAATGGACCCTAAGTGACTCGCAAACATATCAAGTTTGTAAAAAGCAAACTTAATTTTTAAGTACAGTGAATTTCTGGCACAGAGCTTTTATTTTGAAGTGTTGTTTTTTTGCTGTAGAGTGAGTAACTATCAGACAGCTACTTGAGATGGCAAACTAGCTCAGTGTCATCACCGAACTCAAGTATGATGCTGCATGAATTAAACTGCGGTACCTCGAGCTAATGCCCCGTTTCCACCAGCACTTTCAGTATGGTACCTTTGGAACCAACAGTAACCCTTCAGACATAGGACCTAGACCCTAGCGTTTCCACTGTAAACAGTACCCTTAAAAGTGGGTGGGGTTGTCGTCATTCACTGTATTTCCTTTAGCGGTGACACAGATGGAGGTCTGCACCTTGTTTATCGTCCACAGAACGAGGCTACATGCCGACATTTTCAAATCAAAATAAAACAGGCTGCAGTGAGAGTCTCTCTCCATGGGATATTTAGAAATAGCAGGTTTGGGTATTTAGTCCTTCTCAGGCAAGCTCAGGGGTTTAGTGTTGGCAGAGCCCACAGGAACGACGCTCCACAAAGCTTTTTTCGGATTAGAATATATGCAGTTCACATGACCCTGCTGAAATTAATAAACGCTTAAGGATCCACTCATTACTAAAAGTATGTCATATAAAAACTTAAGTGATGGTACTATGGAATGTTTAAGATGTGCTGATGGATTTACATCGTCACATCACTCAAAGTAACATTACAAGTTAATGTTCCACCTTAAAAGTCGCCGGCAGTCGGCCCAGTGAATTCAGTTATTTTTTCTCAGACTCCAGCTGCTGTGAGAGGCAGCAAAACATCCTTTCATTTTATAGTTACAGTTTACTAATTAAACCCTCCACAGTATGAACAGTGGTTACATGAGCCTCAAAACCAGCCACAACTCAGCCCTGAGCAGAGTGACCGTCCTCTATTGACCAATCAGACTGCAGTGTTCACAGCTCCACCTTTTAGTACCAGATCTGTGTGCTAGGTACCCCAACAGAGGGGGGACCAAACATGGGAACTGTACGAACGGTTCTGTTGGTACCATCCACAACTTTTCACAGTGGAAATGGAGAAAAAGCGAACTGAACTGCTCGGTGGAAACGGGGGTTAACAAATAAGGAAAAATCTGAACTGCCTGGCTGGACCAGTTGGAAACCACTGCTTTATACTATTTCATCTGACTTTGTGGCATAAATGAGTGAGTTTTCCCCAGTGTAAGAGCCAAATATGTCATTCACCCCGCAGACTTTAATTGTACGCACTATGTTTGTGGCGTTGTACTGATAGTTGGAGCATTATTGTATAAAGGTAGGAACAGGTAGGACCTGAAGTTTATCGTCTAAACTCAACACAACCAAGAAAGTTGTGGCATCAGACGTGCAAAGCGTCAGCCAAATCAGGCCAGGTGAAACATCTCATGTAGCTGCAAGTAATAGGCTCAGCTCCTACACCAATACATTTATGAGTTTAATCATGTCATATTGCCACTTTTTTGGTGAAATAGTTTGACTTTTCTCTCTTAAGTTATGACTTTATTCTTGCAGTTTTTGTCTCCTCAATGTGGCCCTTATACTTTTTTGTACCATACAACCAGTTATGTTTCCCCACAGGTATTGACAGAATTCACAGGATGGTCATAAAAATTGGATTAGAGTCACATACAAATGTTGGCCAAAATGTGGATGAACATTACACATTCTCAAATATATAATTTACAAGATGAATTTGACCAAAGGAACAGTAGCAAACCTCTTTGTAACATTAGTATTTTGAAGACATTTCAGTGCCTGGTGTTTGAAGTGCTAAGTGACATCCTGCCTTGGTGCCTCATGTAACAGTGAGGTTTAATAGGAGTGACTGCCCTCTGCTGGATGATTACTGTCACTAACAGTCTTTAAAACGTCACTATATTATAGCATACACTTACAGGATGTGAACCCTCATTTCAAAACATACACATAAATTCAAGCAGCAATTAAGTGCTTATATCACTGTGTGTGTGTCCTCACTGTCGCAGCCTGCAGTGTTGATCCAAGAAAACGACGGCCAAGACTCCGTCAACCTCGGCTCGCTGAGCTCAGCTGTTCACCAGCCAGGAAATGAGCATGGCTTCAGCAGGCTGCCTCCATATGGCTCAGTGCAGGAGATCCTCTCTTCAATATCTGATCTGTCAGCAGAGAACGAGCATGCTCGTAACAGAAAAAATGTCCCGGTGCATCTCTGCCAACGCAGTCAGTCATCCGTGTAGTTCACTGCGTGTGGCCCGCTTCAGACTTCCCAGAAGCATCTTACTGCTGACCTGCATGCTCTGTTGACATGGCACTAACACAGGAGGCCAATCTCTGCTGCGAGCGGACTTGTTTGTGCACAATATTGTATATTTAACTGAGAGATGTTTCTGTGTGTCAAACGGATGAGTCTCACTGCTAAGATGCTTTTGGGAGTCTGTCTAGATGGGGATCAATGTACAGCAGGATCTTAACAGAGAGGTGCACTGGAGGATTTGTTTGTGACAGTCTGCTGTTACTGGCTACGTTTGATGGTACCTGTAAAAGAAGAGGAAGCAGCATGAGGAGGGGACAGTGATGGAGGGAGCAATCCCTTAAATTAAGGAATACGTCACCTACAAAATGATCATTTGTATATCCTCCACAGTGAACAAAGAATCCAAAACCAGAGAAAACACTCACACAACTCCTAACTTTAATCTCATTTATCCAGCCGTGTCCTCACTACTTCCCACACACATGCTTTTATACTAAAACATTACTATTTAAAAACACTTAAGCACAAACAGTGTCACGCACAGATGAGCAGGAGGGTAGAAGTGTTTTTAATACTAAGGTTTTAGTGAAAATGCATGTGTTTGGGAAGCACTGAGCATATGACTGAATAAATGGGACTGTGGTTATACTGCATGAGTTGTGTGGGAGTTTGTAAACGGATATTTAGATATATCTTCGCTGCTGTTAAATGCAGATCTTACCTGCCCTGTGACTACCTAGTCGGGGTGCTCAAAACTGAAGTTACAACTAAACACAGAGCAACAACCACAAATAATCTAACAAAAGAGATGACCTCTACGCTCAAAAAAAGGCCAAGAGATCCACACAAAAACTTATATTTACTCCACCTCATGGATGCTCTATCCCGGACGAGCCCTTATTTGTTACACCCCACCCTTGGGCTGCCCCATGGGGTGAACAAAGCTCCATAAATTAACAAATGAATAAGCAAAAAAGACAACAAAAATCCCACGCTGAGAGGCAGCAGGACCAGCAGTCCCCACACCACAACGCTCTTAATTACCTCCTCCATGCCAGGTGCACTGCACCTCGTTAAGTAATGCAGCCCACCTGGGCAGGTGTACGATGGAGGGAAAAGGGACAGCAGCACAGAACTCACACAGCCGTAACTTCAGTTCATTAAGAATTTTCTCTGTTTTTGAATTCTTTGCTTTCCATGGAGGCATGTGAGAAAAACAAAGTCTTCTTCATGAATTCAGTGTAACAGTGGGCGAGTAACTGATGAAGTGAACTGAAGTATTCCTTTGAGTAATCAGTAGCACTACAATGTGAAACACATCAAAATTTTTACTAAAGTAAAAGTACAGACTATTGTCAGCAAAGCAGGGGCGTAAATACAGATAGTGCATATTACATTCAATATGACATTTATTACCAGGAGCAGTCTGTTTTTCTCCGACATTTTAGTTCATTTTTAGTAACTCTTGTACTTATTGTTCTCCCACTGCAATCATTTCTGTAACCGCTTATCCTGTTGGGGTCACGGGGGGCTGGAGCCTATCCCAGCAGACATTGGGCGAGAGACGGAGTACACCCTGGACAGGTCACCAGACTATCACAGGGCTGACACATAGAGACAGACAACCATTCACGCTCACATTCACACCTACGGACAATTTAGAGTCACCAATTAACCTGCATGTCTTTGGACTGTGGGAAAATCTGTCCAGACTGACAGCGAGCAGTCATGCCTTTTCAACATACAAGCAGTGGTAAGAAAGGACAAGAGAAAAATGACCAGGAGGAAAAGTAGCAAAGCTCCCTAAACTAGATTCCTTTGGCTTTTTTGTTAACAGCTTCCAGCTTATAACTAGTGACTAGTGTGCACTGAGGCCAGTGGTAACGACCTCACGCCACTGCAGCAAAGTATACTTAAAGTTCCACAAGGAAAAGTAGTGATTATGCATAATGGCTCTAAGTAGAGTCGCATTAATATTCAAACAGAATTTTAGTGTAGCTGTAGCCTGAAGCTTGAATTTTAACTTCTTTACATACTGCAGAGGAGTTTAATCTCTGGGAAACACATCATATTTCATGTCTTAATCATATGGTTTGTATGTGATAATAACAGTACCCTCTCATTTTGTTTATCATGTCCTGCTTGTTTTGATATGTGTCTTACTTTATTATCTTATATGATATTTTATGTTTGTCATGTATTATGTATCTTGAGCACATTGAGTTTACGCTTGTCGATTGAAATGTGCTATATAAGAAAAGTTGACTTGACTTTGCAGTCAGCAGTCAAGTATCTCCATTTTATGCAGCTTTATACTTATGACTTATGACTTATATACTACTCCACGACGTCTCAGAGGCAGATACTGTAGTTTTTGCTCCACTACATTTGTCGGACGGCTTTGGTTACTTTCCAGATTACACATTTGAAAACCACATATCTCCAGCTGTGTCGACTTCAAATGTTTGTGATGAACTGAGGGATGAAGTGTTCCTTCATGTGTTAAGAATATTCTCCTACTTCTTAATCCAAATAAACTCTTTAAAATCCCTTTTGGATCAGCTGAAAACAGGGCTGTGTTTCTGACACCATGATAACATGACTTTTCAGAGATGTGTTGTTCTAACAGCACAGCCTTTTACTTAATTAAAGGATTTGAATGCTGTACCCACCACTGACTACAGCTCTTAAAAATGGAGCTCAGCAAAGCGGAATTTATACTTCTGCATTTAATCGACGCTGTACCTATGGGGTAGGCTCTGCGTCGACGTAAAGCCTACGCTGTAGCTTGACGTGCACCTCTCCAAGGAATGTAACTACATGTCGCGGCGACGCAGACCCCCTGTTTATTTTTGTGCGCTCAAGCCATTTCCCTCAGTGGAAACAAAGCTTTTATTTACATTAATTTCACAGATAAGAAACAATAAATTGTGAAGACAATAAAGCCTCCACTAAAATAGCATTTTAAGTCTTGTGTGTGATTTATCCTGGCTTCATATCAGCAGAGGAAATCTCTGCTCTTCGCTATGCTAATTTATACAATGTAAAATTCCATGGGCTTGTGCTAATAACGTTAGCATGTTATACTTGTTCTGAAAACACCTTTAGTATAAGACAGTTGTTTTGTCGGTGAACCTCGTGAGTTGTAATGGAGCCCTAATTGACTGTGGATTCATCAACCTCCTTAACCCCTTCGAGATGGGGGTCCATTTGCCAAAGACTTCTCACATTTATCACACACATTTCATTCATTCATGCTTTTGCTTCGCTTTTTTGGCCAAAACCAGACAGTCTCTGCCACATTCTTGGCTGTGCTTAATTATGGGCTTGTTTTATATATGAATGCACCCTCCCAGTGTTTGCATGCTCTGGACTCTGTGTACCATGTAGTATAGTAGTTAGGTATAAGTGTACTTTACTTGAGTATTTCCATTTCATGCTACTTTTGAGTAGTCCACCACTGAGAAAGGTGCACATTATGATTCATTAGTAATTTTATACTACATTTATTATTGATTAAATATCCTTATAATGTAAACTGTGTATGTAAATGTAGTACTCCTTACTGTTGTTACGCTGGTGTAAGGCTTCATCTCAACATTTTAAACACATACCCCTAGTGGGAGTGACTCTGATGTAATCACTTATCTTTTGTCCACATAGCTGTCCTGAACCTTTTGAAGTCTGTTCCTGTCTAATCTGATCTAAGTTAATGGCTGAAAATGTCCCCCCAAACCAGTTTGAGCCATCACACTCTTTTCTTTCTCTTGACAGGCTTCCTTTTTCTTTATGTCAGTGTGTGTCTACTCACTCTCCGTGGTGTAAAGTCAACTCAGTCAGCTGCTCCTGCAGCGCCATGATCCTTAGCCCAATGTACCCGGACGTCAACAGGAGCAACACCATCCTGCAAACAATAATGACGTAAATGCTTTGGGTTTTATCGTCAGCCACAACAATGCACTTTCACTTAGTGCAGAGATGAATCACACCCAGACAGTCTTAGATGGGTACATACTGTGAAGTCATGACAATAAGATATCAGTAAATTGTATCAGCATGGAGCCTGAGTGAACATTGTGTGATAACATTTCTATAACCGCATCTCCAGGATTAGAACATTTTCTTTCCCTTCCAGCCAATCCAGTAAGTCAACATACCAAAATGTGCCTCAAGATGTACGTTTCACACACAAAGCTGCGCCTCAAAAATGTGCACAGCATGTGGGATCTGCAAAGTATGAAAACCCAGTTCTGCCAGTGTAATTTAAAAAAAGGATCCTGTAAAGTCATGAAAACTTTCTAACAATAATGACTTAGTATCTCAAAATAATGACTTAGTATCTCAAAATGATAAGCAACTTTCTCAAAATAATGACTTAGTATCTTGATATAATGAGCAACTTTCTTAAAATAATGACTTAGTATCTTGATATAATGAGCAACTTTCTTAAAATAATGACTTAGTATCTCACAATGATAAGCAACTTTCTTAAAATAATGACTTATTATCTTGATATAATGAGCAACTTTCTTAAAATAATGACTTAGTATCTCAAAATAATGAGCAAATTTCTCAAAATAATGACTTAGTGTCTCAAAAATAGACTTAGTGTCTCAAAATAATGAGCAACTTCCTTAAAATAATGACTTAATATCTTAAAATAATGAGCAACTTTCTCAAAATAATGACTCAGTATCTCAAAATAATGAGCAACTTCCTTAAAATAATGACTTAGTATCTCAAAATAATGACTCAGTATCTCAAAATAATGAGCAACATTCTTAAAATAATGACTTAGTATCTCAAAATAATGACTCAGTATCTCAAAATAATGAGCAACATTCTTAAATTCTTAGAGAGCAGTAGAGAGATGGACAATGGTGGAAGAAGTACTCAGATTTTTAACTTCAGTAACGGCTGCAAATTCATAACATAAAAATACATCACAAGTCAAACTATAGAAATAATATCAGCTAAATATACTAAGGATTAAAAGTGACAATACTCATTATGCAGAAAAATGTCCCCATGCCAGTGTCATATTATAGTAAAGTCAAAATTGTTCTTAAGCACAGTGCTTGAGTGAATGTACTCAGCTGAAATAACAGTACTCACAGCATAATGCAGAGGTAGGCGAGAACGCTGGCGTTACTACCTTCTCTGAGGAAAGAGAGCGGTGTGACCCTCTCAGTGATCCTCGAAACCCATGATACAGCTGGTGGAGAGAAAAATCACCTTGTTATTCTTTAACGACCCTTACCTCTGTGCCTTATGGGTAACTTGAGTAGATATTACAGTCTGTGTGTGTCTATTTGTGAGCTCTTACACAAACGTCTGTCGTCGTCATCTGTTGAGGTGTTGAGGGTGGAATATCGTCTTGTAGGACCTGGAAGGACACAAGTATGCATTGGTGCATTCAATGATGCTGCTAAGACTTACAGTAGTATCTTAAATAGAAAAGTGTAATTAATCAACTAAAGTCACTATTGAAAATAGAGCAACATTAAACAGTTATACATTACTCTATCACAAGCTTCTCCCTGTCTCTCCCATCTGTTTCTCACCTTCACCAGGCATCGGAGGAAAGCCGTTGTCAAGACAAATGCTGTTCTGTCTGCTCAGATCACGATCCACGCTGTCCTCCAAACTGGAATAACTGGAGGCCTGCAGACAAGGACAGAGACGCTGAAGGTTAAAGTCTCTGTCATCGTGCATCATGCATTCATATTTCCTAAACGACAACCCTGAGTCTCTGAAATTCTTCTTTTGGTTGAGTTAAAATGGCAGCAAACATACTTTGTCATGATCAGCTTCGTTTTCTGCAGCGGAGACATGAGGGCTGCACTCCCCCTGTTTCAGACGAACATAGAAACATGAGTTTAAACTGAAAACTGACCCTTTATCTTAAGAAATGATGACTTTATAAAGAGCACCTACTGTACCTGTGCATTTGAGCAGAGACTTTGGAGGAGTTTATAACACATCTCACGGTGCCTCAGAGACACAAATGTGTACTGAAGACAGGAAAAGAAACAGGTGAAAGGGTTAATCTATGTGTACACTCAACGTTAAGGAATCTAATATGAAGTTTTAGCTTGACAAGCTGTCAGTTTTACTGCAGGAAATATCACACTTTTCCTTCTTTTTAATTCTGTTTTTCTTTTTACTGATTGGTAGTGAACACTAAAACTACTGGACACATTTGAGTCAAGATGAATTTATGATTGTTATTATTAACTTGTTTCTAAACCTGATTAATAAAGACATCACCACTACTACTACTACTATTATAATTACATTTAATGTTTAATTTAAAAGGAACATAACAGTGGCCAGCATTTACAGTCTTAGCAAGTTGCACTGCCTGTCTCTAAATGAGCCATTGTACGAATACACAACATACAACACATACAAAATGACACAGAACATGAATTAATCTGATTTGATTAATTTCAATCTCTATTTCGAGTCCTGTGGTTAAGGAGTTCAACAACAACGACAGACGCTTGTTTACAGGAGGTCGAATTACAATTCCCCACAGATGTGTGACGTGTTATTGAGCCCAAACCCCCCAGAGGTTTCAGAATGTTTCTGAGCACTTTGAGGCTGGATATGTCAGCATTCAAGTTATCTAATATCACATTCAGTTGCCATTGGTTTCTTACCCAAAACTTTAATTCCACAGTTATACTCGCATCTGTAATGCTAAGATGCAGTCATGTCAGTGTGTGTTTATATAGCTCAAAATCACAAAAACATTATAAAGTGAAGGAAAATGATGGGACATAGATAATGATCAATACATAAAATATAAACTTTTAATAATAAACTTTTAAAGTGTGTATTCTGACCTTCTCTCCATCAGCAGTTTGAATAGACAGCATGGATAAAGCAGAGTTATGTTTCTTCACCCCACTGACGCTGCACGCAGAAAGCACCACCTGCAACATGTGGACAAAATATAGGAGTCTGATTGTCTGCATACGGCTCTCAACATGGAGGTGGCTAAACTGGTGGCTAGCAGCTAAGTGCTAGCAACACAAACAGTGCTAACAACAGTGCTGACACTGTAATTAGCACTGTTATCGCTCTTCACTGTGCTCATATCGCCGTATGAGCACAGTGAAGAGCGGTGGAGATTAACTAGCCAGTGGGATACACACACAGGGACTCACATGCAGTAAAATGCATGTGCAACTGGACCGACTACCCAAACAAAAAACAGTGAGGCTCAGATTACAACACACACAGAGGGAGCGTGACTTTACTATTTGCTTAGGACACCATTACTCAAATATGTATCTACATAGCAAATAGCTTTTGGATGCTACATTAATGCTCTGAACGTCACCTTTATATGGAGGACAAAAAATTACTTAAGTACTAATTAAAAAGACAAGAAGGAATAACTACATACAGAAATAAATACAAAAAATGTATAAATAAATACAGGAATAAATAGATAGATATGAAAATAAATACATAAATGTATGGAAAAAATACGACAATAACTAAATAAAAAATAAATAATGTTTAAATAAATATGGAAATAAATAGATAAATACATAAATAAATGAATACATGTTAACTAAATATTAATAGAAATAGATAAATCCATGATTAAATGAATAAATTAAATATTAAATAAATTAATTCATAAATAAATCAAAGTTGATGATCAAACAGGACATAAATAAATATCTTAAAATTTCCAAATTTGTTTACATCCACATTTAATAATTTTTGTTATTCCCTACCTGTATGCTTATATAATAAATACAGAGGCCTTAACCTCTGCATTTATTTATTCATTTATGCATTCATTTATGTATTTCAGTCTTTATATTAGCATTTACTTATTCTTTTATTTATACATTTCTGAATTAACTCATTTGTTTCTGTATAATATTTATTTATTTATTTAAACATTTATTCAAACATTTATTTTAAAAAATATTTAATAAAGTATTTAAACATTTATTTATTAATGGATAATTATGACATTTTTAACCTTTGAACCCCTTTAAAAAGGACATTACAATCATATTCCACTTTTATGTGATGTGGATAATCAAGATAAGGAACCAGCCTTTAATTTTGTTCACTATCCAAAGTCCTTAAATAATTTCCCTCTGTGAAGTCTTTGATTTTAGGGTAAAAGCCCAAATGCTGGAGATGAAAGTAAATCCCCAGGATAGCTAATGCTAATGTTGACTGCTTCTTCAACAACTTCTGGGACATGTAAGTTTAAAGTCTGCTCTGCCAGAGTGAAGTGTTCCTACAAAATTAAACACATATTGGTTTAATTGCCACCGCTGGTATGACATGTCAGTGTTGAATAATTTCACCAGTGTGAATTAGGCTTTACCTCAATGAGTCAGAAGATGTTACCTTGGTTTCTTTGAGCAGCACTGACGAGTGGAAACACACATACTTCTCAGAGACAAAGATTTTTCCGTGATACAGCACCTCCTTCTGCAAGGCACAGGTGAACGCTACACACACACACACACACACACACCATTTAAAGTTGTGAGGAAGCTGTTTCTCTAATAAAAAAAGGAAACAGCAATGTCACTGAGACAAAAGAGACATGACAGCAGGATCATGTGCTTAAGTGTTGCAGCTCCTGTTTTACTGTGCAAACAAAGTAGGAAGCGCTTCATCATACACCAGGGACAAAGTGACAAAGGGTCACAATGTAACATAATCTCCATAATCATTATCAAGGAATAAGTAACAGACTCTCAACTCACTGTGTGTCAGGTTCTCCCCCTCAGGAATCTCTTGGAACAGTTTGTGGAAGGTTTTGTTCTGCTTCAGGAAGCTCTGTCAGTGAAAAATAATATTACAGAGGACAAATTATGCTCATGTTCAGATTCAGGTTGGGTTTCTAAAATAAAAGGTGCTTCTGCGCGTCTGTCTTCTGTCTTTGCCCCTACATTCATGTGTTGTCAGAATAATCGGAAAAACTAGTTAACAAAATTCACGTGAAGTCGGAACAAGAACTTGGAAAGTTGGCGGAAATTTTAGTGAGCAAGTTGTTCAAGAAAGAAAAAAGATTCCCGCACACTGTTGCCAAACTTGCAAAATATTTAATGGGACAAGGCAGCTACGTTTCGGTCATTACAACCTTCGTCAGGCAGAGCTGTGAGCAAGTTGTTGACATATATGTAGATACATGGCAGACAAAAGAAAATGCTCGGTTGATAGTAATAAACTTCATATTAATCAAAATACTGCATATCAATTTTATGCTCACAGGTAATTTGCAATGCGGTATAAGGTCGTAACTGGTAGTTAGTATCCACGAAGAGTGACCTAGATTAAATGCAAAAGCTACAAAAGTTATTTATTAGCATTAGTGAGATGAAGGAATGTCTCGGAAGTCTCAGGCCCTGTTTAGATGACAACGGTTTCTCTAAAAACGGAAAAGTCTGTCCTTTGCGTTTTAAAAAACTTCTGCGTTTATATGATGACGTTATTGAAACGATCTCCGTTCACATGGAGCCGCAAAATCTACTGGAAGTAGTACTACTGTAGTATGCACACCAGGCCAATGGGTGGCAGTGTAAATTTGCAAAGCAACACCACGGCATGACGCCATGTGCCTGCGCCTAAGCACCTTCCTCTACAATGCGGTGATTACAAACCAAAACAAAGAAGACACAATGGCGAAAGCATGCACAGATAACTTTGTCTGGATGGACGACTAGGTGGAGTTGCTACAGTAACAGATCTACACTTCACTTCAAATCAACAGGGTGAGCAGCACAAACAGAGCTCTGCATTGTTGTTGTGACGGTCGGCATGCCTAGTGACTGGAACTGTAATGCGCATGTGCGAAAAGTCTCCGTTTTCAGAGGAACTGAACTTACTTGACAACGGAGACGCTGCCGTTTCCAAAAAGTTGCACTCTGGAACCCATTTTCAAAACGTCGTGTTTTTAGGCACCCAAAATGCCGCTGTCGTGTAAACGATCGGCCAAAACGCAACTAAAGTTTACCGTTTTCAGTTGAAATTGTTGTCGTATAAACGGGGCCTCAGAAAAAATCACTTTGTATTATAAATTATCTGTGAAAAATCACAGATAAAAGCCTCTAAACCATGTTGTTCCAGCAGGAATATGATCAGAAATCAGGGAGAAATGAACAACAACATACAGGATTACAGGTTTTCCTGATGTACAGTACAGGCCAAAAGTTTGGACACACCTTCTCATTCAATGCGTTTTCTTTATTTTCATGACTATTTACATTGTAGATTCTCACTGAAGGCATCAAAACTATGAATGAACACATGTGGAGTTATGTACTTAACAAAAAAAGGTGAAATAACTGAAAACATGTTTTATATTCTAGTTTCTTCAAAATAGCCACCCTTTGCTCTGATTACTGCTTTGCACACTCTTGGCATTCTCTCCATGAGCTTCAAGAGGTAGTTACCTGAAATGGTTTCCACTTCACAGGTGTGCCTTATCAGGGTTAATTAGTGGAATTTCTTGCTTTATCTGTGGGGTTGGGACCATCAGTTGTGTTGTGCAGAAGTCAGGTTAATACACAGCCGACAGCCCTATTGGACAACTGTTAAAATTCATATTATGGCAAGAACCAATCAGCTAACTAAAGAAAAACGAGTGGCCATCATTACTTTAAGAAATGAAGGTCAGTCAGTCCGGAAAATTGCAAAAACTTTAAATGTGTCCCCAAGTGGAGTCGCAAAAACCATCAAGCGCTACAACGAAACTGGCACACATGAGGACCGACCCAGGAAAGGAAGACCAAGAGTCACCTCTGCTTCTGAGGATAAGTTCATCCGAGTCACCAGCCTCAGAAATCGCAAGTTAACAGCAGCTCAGATCAGAGACCAGATGAATGCCACACAGAGTTCTAGCAGCAGACCCATCTCTAGAACAACTGTTAAGAGGAGACTGCGCCAATCAGGCCTTCATGGTCAAATAGCTGCTAGGAAACCACTGCTAAGGAGAGGCAACAAGCAGAAGAGATTTGTTTGTGCCAAGAAACACAAGGAATGGACATTAGACCAGTGGAAATCTGTGCTTTGGTCTGATGAGTCCAAATTTGAGATCTTTGGTTCCAACCGCCGTGTCTTTGTGAGACGCAGAAAAGGTGAACGGATGGATTCCACATGCCTGGTTCCCACTGTGAAGCATGGAGGAGGAGGTGTGATGGTGTGGGTGTGTTTTGCTGGTGACACTGTTGGGGATTTATTCAAAATTGAAGGCACACTGAACCAGCATGGCTACCACAGCATCCTGCAGCGACATGCCATCCCATCCGGTTTGCGTTTAGTTGGACGATCATTTATTTTTCAACAGGACAATGACCCCAAACACACCTCCAGGCTGTGTAAGGGCTATTTGACCAAGAAGGAGAGTGATGGAGTGCTGCGGCAGATGACCTGGCCTCCACAGTCACCGGACCTGAACCCAATCGAGATGGTTTGGGGTGAGCTGGACCACAGAGTGAAGGCAAAGGGGCCAACAAGTGCTAAACACCTCTGGGAACTCCTTCAAGACTGTTGGAAAACCATTTCAGGTGACTACCTCTTGAAGCTCATGGAGAGAATGCCAAGAGTGTGCAAAGCAGTAATCAGAGCAAAGGGTGGCTATTTTGAAGAAACTAGAATATAAAACATGTTTTCAGTTATTTCACCTTTTTTTGTTAAGTACATAACTCCACATGTGTTCATTCATAGTTTTGATGCCTTTAGTGAGAATCTACAAAGTAAATAGTCATGAAAATGAAGAAAACGCATTGAATGAGAAGGTGTGTCCAAACTTTTGGCCTGTACTGTAGCATGTAGCTACATGTAGCAGTGCAGGCTACATCATGTAAATACTTGCAGTAGCATGCCTGGAGCAGACAACCATATAAAGAAATCTGTCACGAGCTGACGTCAGCTTGTCCCGAAAAGAAGAAACAGCTGGAAACAGAGTATTCAGAACGGTCTGAGGCCTGAGGTTTTAGCTCACAGGGATAATTCTATGTACACTTACCTCTTCTTTTAAACTTTGACTACGTTTAATATGAACATCTGACACCGTAATATTACGTATATGCCAGAAAATAAGGAAACGCATACCAGGTCAGTTTTAAAAAGTACTAAACTGTGTGTTGAGTGATAATAAGGAGCAGGCTTGAGATTCGTTATCTGAAATAATTATCTTCAAACTGATTGAGAACATGACAACACAACAGTGACACACTGCGATCTTGCTAGCAAACAACTGCTAATTTACATGTCCAACAACATTATTATTCATCAGGAGTCCTGTTTCTGTCTACCTGAAGAACATAAGTCCAACATTCACTCAATTTTAGCTTAATTTTTGGCCTCCTCCAACTCCTGAGGGAAATACCTGCTTTTTAAGCTGCTAAATGCTCCGCTAAAGCTGGTCTCAAACTGTGCCTCGATGCTGTTTGGTGCTGATCAGGTCATGTAAAGTGGGATTTAAGAGCTTTTTCTCTCTGCTATGTGAGCGCTGAGAGTGAAACAAAACAATAAAGTAGGCCGGACAGCTAAACAATGAGCTGAAACTCCCTATAAATCTCCGTAAAGCTGAGGGGAGCTGCAGATTCAGGTGATAATTCTCTTTAGGTAAATGATAACAGACCTTCACACTGTTTTCACATCATACATTGATGTATTGTTATTATAAAAAATATACATTATGGCCGCTTTAATTCTCCCTGTGCTGCAGCAAAATGTGATAAAATATGGATGTTGTAAGTGAGCAGGATGAGGTGGAGCAGACTTACACTACTGTTGATGAGCCCATCTAATCGGTCAATGCTCTCCTCTGTTATTGTCTGCTTCCTGGGGACACAAACACGAGAAATTCACCCTACTAACTAGATGACATATCCAGACTTTGTCTCAGTCTAAGATTAAAACTTCAGTTTTTGTCTTAATCCCTGTCTGGTGTTGAGTATACCTGAGGGCAATGCTGGAGTTGAGGCTGTGATTTAGCACCTGGATCTCCAGTCGGGCATCGTCCAGACTCTGGCTGTGTTTGGATTTCCTACTGCTAAACCTGCTGCTGCCTCTTCTTACGCCAAGGACCCCGACTCCATCCAGACAGCTGTCCCAAGAGACCGGGAGATAAATGTCAGACTGATGATCCGGCTTTCATATGACACACACAGGTGGGACGGATATAGAACAGCATAAAGTAAAGAAAAAATACAAAAAGAAGAATGGGTGTCTTCACGGTGGGAACATCAGTAAATGTGCTGGATTTACTGAGTTCACAGAGTGGCTGAAAACAACTCCTGCGTGCTGACGGTAAACATTTCATTATCTTCACTTTCATTGTTTACATCAGGCGAAGTATGATTTTCCACAGAGATTAATGCGGTTCATCCAGAGGCACAAATAATTTCTCACATTGAGGAGCTTCAACTGAGTGTCAACAACAGTGTTGAAGGGAATATACTGTTCTTGTTTGTTTGTAAATCCGATCTAATATCTCTGTCAGTTTGAACTGTTCCTTTGTGTTACAGCAGAGGTTAAAGGAATACTTTACCCTCTAAATGTTTATTTGCATATCAATTACACATCTGTTTTTCTCGCATGCCTTCACGGTGAACAGAGAATCCAAAGTCAGAGAAAATGTTTGATGAATTGCTGTACAAGTGGGTCACGTTTAACAGCAAAACTATATGAAAACATCTGTTTATAATCTCTTAAACAACTCGTGCAGTATAATCCATGTCTCATTAATCCAGTCGTATGCTCAGTACTTCCCAAACACATGCATCTTGGCTAAAACCTGACTACAATGCCTCCATTTAATGCTAAATAATGGCCATTAAATGAGCTAGGAGGCAGGACTTCAATGGAATGCATGAGCAGAGTGCAGGTGTGCATGGGACTTTTTATGTGGAGGTGTTTTAAATTGTGAGGTTTTCGCGAAAATCCATGTGTTTGGAAAGTATTGAGCAAACGACTGGATAAATGAGACTTGGATTATACTGCATGAATTGTAGGAGAGTTTATAAACAGATGTTTTGAGATAGTTTTGCTGTTGTTAAATGCGGCCCCCATTTACTTCAATTCATCAAAAATTTTCTCCCGTTTTTGGATTCTTCGTTCACTGTGGAGGCATGCGAGATAAACTGTTTTCTTCACGAATTCAAGGTAGCATAGGGTGAGTAATTGATATACAAATTGCCATTTTGAGGGTGTCGTATTCCTTTAAGAGTGTCCAGTTTTGTTGTGGTTGGTTATTTTCGCCCTCTTGTTTTCTCTCTCACAAAAGGCTAATGCTTCTCCAGCGGCCATGCAGCCGACACCAAAGCAGCTGACCTGTATCCCAACAACACTGGGGTCAGAGCCACTAACTTTAATACTTACTTACTTAATACATGCTTTAAAATGTCCCGAATCACAATCACCATGGACCATGGACCATAAAAGTTTTCCTCTACAGGTCAGTCCTGTTGTACTACATGTAGTGCTCTTTCCTCTGCAGTGAGTAACTGATTTACAACTGATCAATTTGAGGGTTATCTATTCCTTTAAACTAGCTCCAAACTCCCCCAGGAACTTATTTGAATACAGCCTGAGTGTATTTTCTCCCTCTGCCTGGGCTAGCTGTCAGCTTATCAGACCTGTGGTTAGTCTGCAGTCTCTGGGCAACAGAGAGGATCTCTGGAGAGTGGTTTCACTTTTGTAAGCCAGCAGCTACAAACACTGGATACACAACAAGAATATCGAGCACACCTGATGCTTTTTAAGTGACTCACACTGTTGATCAGCCGAGATGAAGGATGAAGGATGTGACAGGGACAGAGAAAGAAAAGCAAAACATGACGTATTTATACTCACACATTGCTGTCCAGTGAGAATCTCCTGCTTTTCAGACTCATGATGGACAATAAATACTTCCAGCTCACACACATGCACACACTCATACACTTTCACACACAGTGAAAGACTATATCTGCAGCTAAAATTTGAAAACTCATCAAAACACCTCTCATGTGAGTCTTTGGCTCTGATTCCTTGAAGTAACTCTGAGGCAGTGAGAGGCAGGTAAGAAACAAAAGGTGATCACAGCTTCCTCTTTAGGATTGGCTTCTTCTAATTAAGTCAACCAATCAGCTGCGAGGGGCAGAGGTTTTCACTCAAACTAAACAAATCAGTGAAGGCAGGTGGAATGGCCACACGTCGTGCGCAGCTTGTGCTCCTCATGGCAACGGTCGCTATGGGTGGCACTACCTATCGTGACCTTTTGACACACAGACACATGCGCCTTTAAGAACACGCACGCACTGTGACAAAGGTATGCAGGGACAGCCGTCATCACAGTCACACCATGTAACCTGCTCAGCCTGCACAGATAGAGATCAGGGAATGATTTTAGGCCTTCACCACAGAGACATAACATGACAGTGAGTTCCATTTTGTACTGTGGAAACATACTGTGAAATGGCTCGATGAAACCCTAAAATATTACGGTGTTCAGATGATTACAATTGGAATGGTTGTTTAATTATGTGTCTCAAAAGCCTGAAAAAACAAGACAAGATGGACTATTCAAATTGTACTTATTGTGATTACTCTAGTGGTATATTAAATGTTCTTGTCAGTGATTTATTAATTTTGTTGTAATGACAATGAAGATATTAATTTACAGTGTCTTGTAAACCCATATGGGCAGGGTGTCGTTGTACGCAGGATACAGTAATTAAAAACTTAATTGCTTCATTATCATATATTTCATTATATATTTTGACTCTTATTCTGATCATTATTTACTGCACACTAGTCTTTTAAAGCGAGAATAACACCCTGGATTTCTCTGCACATACTATCTGTGATGTGATAAATCAGCCTGTTCTCACACTCAACTCATCAAATACTGCCACTTTGTCAGTAATTTGGGCATCAGAGACCAATGCACAGAGGCAGTTTTCATAGCAGTATGATAAAGACCGCACATGTCAGTTTAAGAGACAGCGGGCAACAACCAAAGTTGTCAGATACCGCCGTTATGTCAATGGACGTCAGCGTCAGACACGGACACACAGAGGCACCCTTTGCTACACCCTGAAAATTGATTCTCTCTGGAATCACTGTTTCATTTTTCCAAAAATATGACAATATTTCTTCGGGAACAGCTTGTCGGACCATCACAAAGGGGCAGGGCTTAGCAAAAGGTCAATTTTAGTGAAACTATGATGTTTTTTTCTAAACCTAACCGCGTGCTTTTGTTGCAAAAATTTAACGAAATCAACCGAAGACTTTATGCATGTAACAAGCAGAAACTGTAGTGTATTTTGAAAAGACACAAAAAAAATGTAACAAGCGTAAACTGAGATGGTGGTATTTGACAGTTTGGGATGAGAATTTGTTGGATAAACAATGCCTTTAAAAAAAAAAGCAGCAGATAGTTGTGTTTAGCTGTAGGACATACACTCACACTGCCAATATTGCTATGGTACACTTGCACTTGCATGTATAATTTAAATGGTACTTTACTGTACAGGACAAAAGCCCCATCATGTCAGAGGGTATTCAGACAAAGGTTATTTTTATTTTGATTATTTTTATTTTGAAGTACATGGAAGATAATCCAGTTGAGCAATTGTCCTCGTGCAGCTGCTGGCACTGTTAAACTGCGGGTGGTCATATGATTGCATGGTGTCATTCCAGATGTTGGCTCTCTTTGCTCACCCTCATCTTACCCTCACCTCTCCTCCACCTTTGTCTCTGTATGCAGCTCAGAGCGCTGTGCTGACCTTTGTTCATGTATGCTGCTTTGAGATTAAGGATTTAGTAACCACTGAGCAGTCAGTGCTGCCGGTCGGTGATGAGTTCAGCATTTTGAATGTTGGCACTTCCCATAATAATGATAATTCAAGTTCAAACATGGTGCCAGATACAACAATAGCCTGTGTTATTGTAAGTATGAGTTGCAATTGCAATCTGTGTGAAGAAATGTGCCATCTTTGCAGGTTCTACTAGTGTAATATAAAATGTAATAATAAGAATCTATTCAGAAGAACTGTACATGACCTCAGGAACATTCTTGTAATAAAGTTTTATCATCTTTGTATAATAGCCCTGCAGAATTATTGTTAGTTTTCCTGTGTTGATTTTTGTATTGAATTATATGGATGAATTTAATGCACATATTGTGTCGCACAGCCCACACTGATGCCAGCATTTTCAGATAAACATTATCTATTGTGCTCAGTAGGCGTTTGCTTGGAGCAATGGCAGCTCAGGGTCACATTGGCCTTCGTGACTTCTTTCTGTGGGGTATGAATCGTCACCATGTGAGGCTAAGAGAAAAGTAAACAGCTACTTGCATTAAAACAAACGCTTCCTTATAGGTGTAAAGTTACCGGGCCTGTCTCAACATGTCTCAAGAAGGAAATAGAGTGGTTAGAGTTACGAAAGCATTTAAATAGCCATAATCGAATTTTCCTGTGATGGACAGAACAATACACCCTCTTCTTTTTCTTTTCCTTCTATAGCTTAAAAGAATTTAATACAATGAGCGGCTGGCTTTTTAAGAGATTTCAAGGAAGTAGCATGTGACAGGGTTTGCCATACACCCTCAGCAACTCTTCATATCAACACAGATCATAGTGAGAAACAATGAGGATGAAGCTGCTGTATGTGAACTTTACAACTGCAAAGGACACCTTGCATGTGGTACTGAATAGTTTAACACGAGCTCTCCTGATATCTGATCTATCCAGTGTGAGTTTCATAGTGAATTACAGCTGATTACATCTCCTCATGCCTGGGTGTGTGCCCCACTGTACTTAGAGCACGCCATCAACGATGTTAGGAACATTCCTCTTCATTTCCTAATCACAAGCATAATGCTGGTTCTCGTGAAGAATGGTACTAATTCAAAGAAAGGGGAGCGAAATGGAAAATATGACATGTTTAGAAATACATCCTATTGTTAATTGGATAAAAGAAAGTATCCTGGTTTCTGTTCTGTTTGTGCGAGGACAGAGTGTTCAAACAGACTGCATCATTTGACGATTAAAAAATGTTGATCAAAGCTCTTAAAACTAAAACCTCAACTAACGAGTGGACCCTACAGGGATACTTTGCCGATTTTCAACCATCTTGGTATCATATTAATATGTGAATATCGCTCCATCTTCACAGGGCCCAGATCTCTCTGCTCATCTCTCAGCTCAAATCTGCTGGATGACACGTGTCACAATATAAGAATTCTTGAACAAGAAGCAGGTGCCATACTGGTTCCTGTATTGTAAAACACCAAGGCTGAAAATACTGAGATCAAATGGTAAAACTAAGCAGTGCTAATCAAATATTTAAAACTCTGTTAACGTTACTGCACTGCCTATTTCTCTCCTCAAACGTTTTTAGAAACATGTTTTACCATTTAATTTGAATTCAAGATTGTTTTTACCATCTGGCTGCCATTTTGATTCCTCTGAAAAACAACCAAGCACATCACTCACCAGCCTAGCTATTGTGGCGCATTGCATTGTGGTAGTTAGAAGTTTGAATGCAACAGCCCCTTTCCTCAGTTTTCGCTGGTCATGTAACACTACTTTAAAAAAGACTTGTTCTTTTCCACTGTATATGCATTGGCAGTAAAATACTTCTTAGAAATAGCAGACATTTTGGGAATTATGCTAACTGCCTCTCATGCCCAAAATTAGCTGTCATGTCTGTATGCTAAACAGTGCTAGTGCCAGCAGACTGTTAGCTCAGCCTAGCTCAAAGACTAGAAAAAGAAATCAAACTCCGGCTACAAACACCCCTAAAGCGCAATAATCAACCCATTATATCTTAAATAGTACAAAAACCAAAGTTTAAACACTGCATGCTGTTTTTCCGTTAACTCTGAACAGAGCAAAACTAGCTCTTTCCCCTTGCGCTAAGCTGAGCTAAGCTAAGCTAAGCTAAGCTAAGGTATGCTACACGCCAGAGAGAGTTCAAACAGATTGTCAGTTAGTTCAGTTAGCTCATAAAACTAAAACCTAAACAAATAAGTGGACCTCAAAAGAATGGTTTGACACTATGGGACATTTCACTTATTTCATTTCTGTTTCATTTCCTTATTGCCAAAAGTTATATGAGGAGGTTGATACCACTGTCATGTCCTTATGCTAAATACGAAGCTAGCGCCGGAAGACGGTTAGCTTAGCCTAGCACTAACACCGGAAATGGGGAAACTAGCTAGCTTTGTCCAAAGGTCGCAAAACCTAACAACAACAACCTCTCAAGCTCACTAATTAAACACATTATATCATATTATATATGTTAATATGTACAAAGTGTATTCCTTTTTCTCTTACCTTAAGAAAGAGCCAAGCTAGCTGTTTCCCCTGCTTCCAGTAGTTGTGCTAAACTAAGCTAAACACCTGCTAGATGTAGCTTCATATTCGCCATACAAATATGAAAGTAGTAATGTTAAAAATCTTTACAAGTAACTCTCAAATTATTCTTTTTTTTTCTGGTCAAACTGCTGTTTCAAATTTGTCTTTTTTTTCAGCCCCAGATTACAGAATGTTTTTTCCATTAAAATATTTTTTGTGTGTTTTAATGCTCATGCGACTTGTTAATAGCCGTCATGTCAACATCCAACTATGTCTGGCCTCACACAGGATAACTACTGCTGTTCAATGTAATATTTTACACTCAGTGTAATGTAAAGTATTGTGTCCCTTACACTAACAGCTGTCAGTTGCATTTTATAAACAGTATTGCCAGTGAAATGAAAGTAAAAGCCAACCCCAGAGTCACATTGCTATATGTGCATTTTTTGGTGCTGGGTTCGCAATTTTCAAAGCTTTCCCTTAGATGTAAGGTAGTAACATAGTTGCAAACAGAAAAATAAGAAAGTAAGGCAGAGGGTAGGGTCTCTGCAGATAAATACACTGCCACACACCTCAAGTGGGTCGTAAGTGATGACTGAGAGGGATTACTTTTGTATCTATGAATTGTTTTTTTTAGGAAAGTCCTGCATAGTATACCTTTGTTTCCCATCTTTACCATACCAAAAGGCATAAATGTGGCATTATCCTGCCTCTGTCTTGTGTTATTGGACATCTGAAGTTCAGGC